TATTCTTATTTATTATTCGTTATATTAAAAAATGAACATGGAACAAAAAATGCATTTCAAAAAATGTGAATCAAAAAATTCATTTTTCTTCATAAATTTATATCTTTATTCTCTTAAAAAATCAGCAAAATTTAAAATAAAATTTATTTTTAAAAAATCAGAAAATACTATTTGAAAATACTATATTATAATACTATATATTTCTATTCTTCATTTAAGAACTTATAAAAATTTGATCCATTATAATTTATTTGAAAGATCTTAGAAAATTAAAATAAATGTTTAATATTTTATTATGGAGAATTAAAGTTAGAGTATCCATCATTCAATCGTCACTTTTCACTTTCTTAATCTATAAGAATTTATTTATTCTCATCCGCTATTGTTCACTAGAATCTCGTACGTTATCTCACAAAAAAAACATAAAACATGAGAGTCCATTATTGCGACTAACTATTAATTCTATATATTCAGTGATTCACTTTTAAATGATAAGTAAACACCTGCGTTCTTCCACGTGTTTGTCCCGAGCGATTTGTTTTTTAAAGAAATCGTTTGTATTTACGCATTGTAACCGACAAGTGCTACAAAACCGTGAAGTAAAGGGGGAAAAAGCTGTGTCAGCACAAGTACCACGAGGTCACTGATAACCTGGACTGACCCCGCGCGTCTAATCAGTAAATTTAATCGAAATCTTCCCATATTGAGTCGCGATAACGCATCGTACGATTCCTTTCCATCACAAGTTTCTGCTAAGCAAAGCGCTTCTCAGAGTTATTGACATATATGGTTGCCCCATATCGTTCCTCCCAGTCTTTCCTTTTTCTCTTTGTATATCGTACGACGGAAATTACTCGTAAGAATCATTCAACTGTCGCGTGCGCGCTTGCATGTTTACGTGCTCGATGAATGAAAGAATCTGACATCCGAGATGCAACTACATATCTAAACTGATTACTCTTGAAATAATTATCTGACCTAAGCAATTTTTCTTCTCATTAAAATAATGTTTAGAAATAAAAAAGAAAAAATAGATATAAAACTACGATATTTTATCTATAAAGGTCATATATGTAGATAAAAATCCAAATATGTATGTATGATCTTTTTTATTTAATTTGAGGACTAATACAAATCGTTTTAACTTTTAAAGCTCATTCAGCCTTTTTTAGCCCGCGGATATATAAACAACTGATGATTAAATAATTTATAGCGAATTCGATTGGATGCACCAGTGCGCACTGAGTGCATATACAAGTTTATCACACACAAGTTCACAATGACACAAGTAATAAAAAAAGGAAAATAATTCATAGTAAGAGCTATTATTATTGTTGTTCAATATGAATAATGATAATAATAACTCTTACTATTAATTAATTTACTTTTTTAAAAACTTATGTCATTGTAAAATTGTGTAATCTTTATGTGCACTCAATGCGCACTAGTGCATCCAACTAAATTCGCTATTAATGTCATTAAAAGCACGACTTTCCGAAATTTTTCATCATTTTTTTATTACATGAATTAATTTAGAATTTAAAAATTATGCACAAATTAATCGAATACAATATTTGACAGTACTTGATATCTATAGATATTTTAGCTTTTAAGATTCGAGATTTTGTATAAAAACGCGATAAAATTTTTATAACGATTTAATATTAATCAATGTTGCACGATTCCTCAGAAATTATCTTTTCTTATCAATGTGCATCGACTATAAATACTTTGCAATTCACTGTGTGTGTTTAATTAAATGTGATTCTGTATGCGAATGTATAGTATCCTCAAATTAATTTTTCCTTTTGCAGATTGTTCGATTAAATTGAAAAAAATATCAAAACGCAATAATATTCAGATAATTATAAGATTAGAAATAAATAATATAATTTTATTGAATAAACGTCAATATACTTCAAAATAAAAGATAGATGACGCGAAAATCATTTTTCAATTAATTTCAATGAAATTTTACTTTCATAGAATTGCAATGAAAATTATAATTATAATAATATCCAGTATTTAAAATATGAAATATATGAAAAGTACGATAAATGATATTTGGCGTCGTTTTTGTTATCGAAATATATATCTTATCAGTTAACTTATATAAAGAAGATGCAGTCAGGAATACATTTTATATATATTCAGATTCTGGAACACTTTGTGTAAATTTTCAGTATTTATAGTTATCGCGGCAACTCGTGAGAAACACGGTATCCAAAGAAAGTGTCGCTTCTTTGAGTGGAAATTAGTTCCAAGGTAGAAGCAAGAGCAAGATTTCCCGAGAACGTTCTCTGGTAAATTCAATCGCGCCCCAGTAAATATTAGCATGATTCGTGGAAATCGTCAATTCCGCAATTAACAATTTGTACTAACTGTGTTGGAAAAGTTAAAACGAAAGTCAATCCTGCGATGAAAGGAGAGCAGTGCTTCAAAAATGTTGCAACGAGGAAATGTTAAATAAAAACTGTTAATTGCATTTCTTATGTAAATCGAAAAAATGAATATATAACAAAATCAAATATTAAATTAATTTTAATAAAAAATTAAACATTAAATATGCTAAATTTTTCTTCACACATTTATTTGCTAAAAAATTTGTTAAGTTATTCGTCAATCACAAAATTTATTATTTTAATGAGTTCATAGTTGTAAATCACCAAAAAATGTTAAAAACTATAATATAAAGTTCGTGATTCTGCTATTAATTGCATTTCTTATGTAAATCGAAAAAAATGAATATATAACAAAATCAAATATTAAATTAATTCTAATAAAAAATTAAACATTAAATATGCTAAATTTTTCTTCACACATTTATTTGCTAAAAAATTTATTAAATTATTCGTCAATCACAAAATTTATTATTTTAATGAGATTATAGTTGTAAATCATGAAAAAATATTAAAAACTATAGTATAAAGTTCGTGATTCAAGTCATGATAATAATAAATTATCGATGTTATATTATTCTAGTTAATTAAATTTGTACAAATTGCTACAAAAATTAATATTTCTTCAATAATGAAAATTATAAGTTATAACAAAAAAATAGAAGCTCTTTTTATATCCTTATCACTCGCGTATGCGTAACGCATGATTGTTCTTATCGGAGCGTGCCTTTGTTTGCGATTTCGCTGTATGCATCGAGGAAACGCGCGTGGTATTTTTTTCTTTTTGATATTAGCAAGAAGACTGGCAATTTTGCAGACAATTAGGCGAGAAACGGAGAACGAGAATAAATTGCCGAGTTCGTCTCACGGTAATGGTAACGTGACATGCTAAGTGGAAAAAGCGTTCTGCTGGGGAAATTTCGCAGCTCGCCGGAATAACGATGAACGTGTTGCCATAAATGTGTTTTATGACCGGTTGTTACGAATACAGGTCTCGACTTCTCTCGAGAGATCGACGGAAAAACCAGTGCGTTCCGGAATCAGAAAAGAGATATAACGGTATGAAACTCGCGAGTATCAATTATCGTCATGCCAATCCGCGAATTCCTTTGAAATCAATTCTATCCTGCAATATACTATTCGCGAAAAAGTTGATGTTTAATAATTTAATTAGATTTAGCAAATTGCTTAAACCTCGTAGCAAGCATGTTTCAAATAAAATGTGTATATATTCATGGATACAAACAAGTTTAGAACGCACGTAAATGTTTAATTTTCCTAACAAAATTTAATGTGACAAAAAGTAAAATTATTGTTGTTTTAATAATAAAATATTTTCGACTTATACAGAATCGATTATATATTTCGCAGAAATATAATAATTATATTATTGATATATAAAATATGTATAACACTATACCGAGTTATCATGCAATAGAATAAAAATAAATAATATACATTTCAGATAGCAAAAAAGTCATTTTGATGTTAAAATGAAATATTATATTATATATATTATTCTAAAACTTATCTTTTTTGTGGTTATAGATAGTTATTTCCTGGTTACATATATATTTTCAAAATAGTAATTTAGAAAGATAAAACAAAAAAATAAAAAATATATTCCTGTGTCTATATTAGATAGCTAAAAGTATGTTTAAAATTGTTTTTCTTTATCTTTCGAAATTACTATTTATTAAATATATATGTAACCGGAAAATAATTATCTATAACAAGAAAAAAGGCAATCTTTAAAGAGAGAGAATCATTTTCTCTATATTTTTTAATTGATATATCTTATTGGAATAAATAAGATTAAAATATTTAATAATTTTTAAGAGAAATATGTAACAATTGTTATGAAGAACAGAATATCCAAGCTCAAAATGTTTCAACGATGATAAGAGTGACAATGTGCAACTATCTTCGTAGAAACTGCGATTTTATCGATCCGTTAATAAAGTACCCTTACGCAGACCAATTCCTCCTCTTGACCGCAGGGAGGATTATCGCGAAATCGATACACGAAGGCTTTATAGCGACATGAGCGATTATTCTTGTATCATTTCGAGATATCGATACCGTCGACATCGCGGTTTGTTGACCTATCCGTCAACAAACGGGTATCCAGATATTTGCGAGGAAAATATCTGGATTACATCAAGTATTCGATATTACCACAAACTTATCAATTTCAAGCTTTGACCGTTCCGATCGTATCATTAAATACTCGTATATCAAAGAGTTATTCGAGAAAACGTATAATTTACTGACCGTTACATTAATTATTTCTATATGCAAATATGTATTAAAATAAAAAACCAGTAAAACAGAAAAATGAAAATTATTTTATAAGAAGTCTTTAAATTTTTAATTTATAAAATTTCAGAGATATATCGCAAAGAAACAATATAAATTATTTATGTCGTAGAAAATACGGACATGTTTTAATTTTTTGTAACTGTAATATAAAATGTCTAATATGTTTCATATTGTAATTAAAAAAAATTATATCAATAAAATTTTAATTTTTTTATTACATTTTTTAAATGAAAAACTCCGATTGATTACTAAATTAAAGGGACCTAATTTTGTTTACAGCCACGTCAGCGGTGATCCTAAAGACAGAGAACGAACATCATCACCTGTCGAGTCTATCTGGGGATAATATCCTCGGGACGGGGGTAAGAATAGGACGTGGCGAGGACGCAGTCGCGAGTGGTAGCAGCAGCCCCGTTATGGATTCGGCGCAATCGGCCATGATGAAGCAAGCGGACTACGTCGTAGGTCAGTGAACTAAATTTTTTAATGGTAAACGTGACGAATTTCTACGATCACAAACACGATTTTATCGACTATTGCAATTGATATTTATTACAAACCTGTTATCTGTGTTATCTGTATTATCTGTGTTATGAAAACAATGTGGATGTTTAGTGAATTGGTGATATACAAATTTATTATCACATAAAATAGGTGTACTTACTTCTCTTGTCATTTTAAATAATTTTACTAAAATATTGTAACAAATTCTTCGAAGCAAAGTTCAAAGACTTAGAGATATGAATCGATTAAAATTCAAGCCATTTAAAACATGGTGCAATTTTCATTAGGAGAAATATACTTTAATAAAAATATTTTGAAATTAGAGATATTTTATAAATATATCAAAATAAAAAATATTTTTCATACCACAAAATATATTTCAGATCTCAAACAGAGGATTAAAAATTTAATATGTTAAATATATTATTTACTTATTTCATTAAATATATTATTTACAGTATAGCATTAAAATATATTTTTTATTTTGTGAGTGCAAGTATACTGTTTGTATTAACTTGCTGCTTTTTAAGTTAAATATAGTATAAAAACCTTTATAGAAACTTTATAAATGACACACACTGGTCAGTCTAGATGACAAACGTGTCGAATTATAAATCAATAAGTAGGTTTCATATATAATATATTGAAAGAAACTTTAGTCGCAGTTATTCATAATCGTAGCGTCCAAAGTTCAGTATGCCACAGTTTATGCTCGGCGAGTGATGACATATGATGTCTCTCGCACAGAATTGCTATCAGTGATTTTTTGATATATATATATATATATAAATTGTCAAATATCGAAATAAATCTCATTATTACGTAGCCATTATACTATCAGATTTCTTTGTAAAATGTAAAATTTAAAATTTAAAATTATTTTAATTTATTTCAACATCAAATATTTTAATATAACTAAAATTTAATTAATTTAATATTATTTGGATATAAAAATAATAATCATACTATTATGATAAAATATATAAATGTTTTCTCACTAAATGATATTTCTGTTAATGTTATAATTAGAATAAATCAAGATGATTTTTTAACAGCATATCAATAAGAAGTTATCATGTTATATAAGATTTTTCCGATTAAACATTCGCCATGTCATTAAATGTGGCTGATGTATATACATAAATTTCATATTATCAAAATGATCTATGTAAAGCTAGCATATCATTTCGTGGAAGTTCATAAATAATTGAAAGGATCTGATTAAAAATGCTGGAAAATAAAAAATTGTTTTGCACTTTGATTGCAGGCAGTATCAAATAAGAGATTTGCTGGTGTTTATTTAATTTTAATTAATATTCTTATTTTTAAAAGGTAGAACTTTTCTTTGAACTCTTGTAGAGCTATAAATCTTTTAATAAGAATCTTTTAATAAGAATCTATTAATAAGAAAAATATCATAGGATAAAATGATATATACTGTGTGAAATTGACATACCAATTTGTTCTTATTTGTCCTTATTTTTTGTTTAATCGTCAGAATTATTTGCTTAAAATTAAACTATAAAAAATTCTAGAATTATTGAAATTAAATTCTTAATTATTTATGAGTTTCCATGAAATAAGACGCTTCATACATCCCTATTATTGTTATAGAAATGTTATCAAATAAACAATTTCTCACTCACCGATGCGTGCAATAGCGGAGTTGTACACTGCATGTTGATCTGAAAACAAAATATTTAAATTATAAATATATATATATATATAATACATATATACAGGATGTTTTGAAAATTTGGAAACGATCGAATATCGAATATCTCAAACAATGCAGTTTAGAAAAAAATGTTTTTAGTTTGCATACCTTACAGTTGCCCCGCTGTTGCCCGATGCCCCCAGGCCTCCTCCTCCTCTCGTGGTTCTTCGTAGCACTCACAACACTCGCGAAAACACGAATAATTACGGTCGCCCGACTACTTTACACGGCACTCCCAACGCGCAAAACTTTACACGACACTCCCGACGCGACGCATGATTCACGTACATTGCACGATGAGAAAAAAACGATGCAAAAACTATAATCGCGCGATGCAATGTTCGTTCGAGAATTTCGCAGTCAAACTCGCGCACAGCTTATCAGTAATGTTTACCTGTAATAAATAAAATATACATATATAGAAAGATAACTTAAATAAATATAAAAAATTATGTGTTTCTTAAAAGAACTGTTATAAAATTTTGCATACCTTACAGTTGCCCCGCTGTCGCCCAATGCCACCCCGGGCTTTCTCCTTTTTGGACCTTCGTAGCACTCGCGACACTCGCGAAAACACGAATTACGATCGCCCGACACTTTACACGGCACTCCCGACACGACGTGTGAATCACACTGCATATCGCAATGCTACCTGTAACAAATAAAATATATACATATATTACAATATTATTATTTCGATTATAACATATACAATATAAATATGTAAGTTAGAATTAACGAGAGATATATCCACAGATCGCTTTCGCGTGCACGAAAACAGATTAACAAGATACCGCAGTATTATTGGAGTATGAATCATGAATATTAATTTTCTATATTTTATTGTTTTATTGCTTTCTATATTTCATTATTAATCCATACATTAAATATAAATAACAAACGATCAATGATTTTATTAATATTTATGAATACTGATAGCAATTCTCTTATAATGTGAGAGGTTTGAATATGCACAATCAAAGTATACAACAAAATTGAATCAACACGATGATAGCATGTTATTCAATCGATATTAATCCAATCTGTATTGTTACAGACGTTGTGCTGCCAACGGTCCTAATTGCTTTGCTGTTTGTCGGCAATGCGATCATTGTTTATATCATCTTCCAATATAGAAAGAGGTAAGTGAACTCATATTTCATTGAAATATTTGCTAAATATAGATTATACTAAATATAGATGAAAATAGAGCAACCGGTAATATAAATGTACAATTGTTGAGACTAGACTTGATTCTTTTATAGAAAAAACAAAAAATCAATAGCAATAATAAATAAAAATATAATTAAAAGACGTTAATTTTATTAAAACTTTAATTGAAACATAATATAATTGACATATTTCTATATATTATTATTGTTCTTAAAATAAAATTAGAAGATTAGATATTTCTATAGATATTACTCGTATAAAAATTTTACGAATTTTATGTCATAACTATATAAAAAATATTTAATAATTAATCAACTCTCTTCTTTACAAATTTCTAATTCGACTTTCAAAATATATTATAATTATATATTATACAATATAAATATGATACAATATCGCAGAAACAAACGAACAGTTAATTTCAATGGTAAATTAAATAAATTATAATGCTCACCATTGCCGACTTTGGCATCCTCGGCTTCAACATCATCCTCTTCCTCGTTCTCCTCCTGCTTCTCCTTCCTATTACCATAAAATTAAATAATTAGACATTTCTAGATAATGCTTCTATAAAAATTTTATGAATTTATGTCATAACTATTAAAAATATTTGATGATTAATCAAATATTTTTTATAAATTTCTAATTCAACTTTCGAAATATAACATATTATTATACAATATGAATAGGATACAATGTTGCAAAACAAACAGTTAATTTTAATGGTAAATAAAGTAAATTATAATGCTCACCGTTAGCGATTCCGGCATCCTCGGCATCATCATCATCATCCTCTTCCTCGTTCTCCTCCTTTCTACATTACAATAGAATTAAATAATTAAATATTTCTAGATAATTGCTTCTACAAAAATTTTACAAATTTTATGTCATAACTATTAAAAATATTTGATAATTAATGAACTATACTTTTTACAAATTTCTAATTCAACTTTCGAAATATGAATATAATACAATGTCGCAGAACGAGCAGTTAATCTCAATGATAAATTAAATAATAAATTATAATCCTCACCATTGCCGATTCATCCCCGGCATCATCGCATCATCTTCCTCGTTCTTTTGCTCCACCTTTCTATTATAATAGAATTAAATAATTAGATATTTCTAGAATTTGCTTGTATAAAAATTTTACGAATTTTATGTCATAAATAATATTAAAAATATTTGATAATTAATCAACTACTTTTTACTTTCGATGTTCGAAATATATTATATAATGCATTATTACACAATAGAAATATAATACAATGTTGCAAAACGAGCAGTTAATCTCAATAATAAATTAATTAATTATAACACTCACCGATACTGACTCCGGAATCCTCCTCTTCCACCTCCCTGACGCCTCCGTTAGGTTAAGTTGCTCCTTTATGACAGAATTGTGCACGCAATCACTGGCGGACGACATAATTAATTAGGATTACTTGCGTATTAATTAATACTCGACTACGACAATTAAATGACACTCACGACAATCACGACGCGATATCTTTATTAGTGTATACATATATCGTAAAGTGTACAAAGTTTATCATGCGACACTTGCGCCGCGCCTGTGAATGTACAAATCACAAAAGAGACAAAGAAAGAAAATTCAAAAATCGCGCCCACGGAGTCCCGCCACTTTCTCCCCTCCCCTTCACCCTCCCCTCTAGCACTCCCTGTTGCTTCTTCGGTTTTTGCATTTTGATATACTATGTGCTCGCGATTTTTTAGAATGATTACTACTTCATTTATTACACTCCATGAATAAATAATGTACAGAATAAGTATCCAAACAAATAAGTACGTTCGAATTACATAATGAATTAATGATATCCGCAGTAAAAAATGCTGAAAGAAACTAGAAATATAAATGATTGCCATTCTCGGATGACCGATTGCGACCTACGACTTCAAAGTCGGATTCCTGTCTGCGATTAATGATAATGAATCGATCAAGAATATATATATACTCCGTATTCGGCATCGCACGCGCAACGCATTTCGTACAAATTCAGCATTATTATTGCTAATAATCGACGTACATACCAGCTCGATGTACCGCGGCCTCCCGACACGTCTGTTACTTTCCGCCCCTAAATGACGAGTGAATTAAGTCTGTCGTATGCGCCGACAACTTCACGCCGCGCGACGCGGTTAACGAAATTGATTAATAATGATAAATAAATCAAGAATATTTATTTATTTTTCTTATTCGAAATTGCACGCACAACGTATTGATATACATAAATTTAATGAAATATATATATATATATATGTATTATTATATATATTATTAATAAATAATATGTATATTTATATATGTATTACTCCGCGCTTTCTTTGTGAAAATGGCAAGCAAATAATATAGTATACCTATAAATTAACATGGAATTTCAGATAACATATATATGCAACATACATGTATAATTTTCAAGTACGTGTTATCTTTTTCTCTATCAAGAACGTAATAATTAATAAATGAGATACAATGAGACGATAAATTATGATTTTCATTCTCGATTGTTTTGATTCGTTCATGTATATTAATACCAAAATAAATATATAATCAATACGACGATGCATATTTAGATATTTCGAATATTACCAATTAATATACCTTTGATATGCTCATTAATTATGCGGGGATGATCACTCGGTCTCGTTGTTTTCCTCGTCGCTGCTAGGGAGCTAATGAATGACGAGCGTAAAAAAATAGTTCGCTTTAGATGAAAAAAGGCGGGAAATGTATGATAGTTTAAATTTTTACTTCGCTGCATATTGTACATTTATGTTAAAATAATGTATATATTATTCAAATGTTAAATAATTTAGATAACATAAATTTTTATACATTATCTATATGCTATAAAAATTAATTAATATTTAAATATTCAAGGAGTAATGAATACAGCGATGCTCATAATTATTAAATAGTAATTCAATTAATACAAATAATTGATACAATTAATTAAAAGCTAAAGTATGATAATAGAAAACTTTAGAAAATAAAAATAAGAAACAGTCTAAGATATTAAACTAAAATTACAATATTAAATTGTATAAACAACACTTCTAAAATAATTAATAACAAAAATGCTGCCTACATTAAATAACATATGTATACTAATATATCTTTAGAATAAACATTTTTATATTTGAAAAAATTTGAAACTTAAAATACATATATAAATAAAAAATGAAAAAAATTAAAATAAATAATTAAAAAAGAAAATATACAAAACTATTAAGAAATCAAATTAATTAATAACAAGATACAATGAGAAAAATGCTAATTAAATCTCATTTTTCTAATTTCAGAAGACTTCCAGCTACGACACAAAGTGAAGAAATGGCCCTTCAGGGTCCAACAGATGTACCCCAAGTGTGATTTCAGAAACTTTGACTGATCACACACATGGCCATCGATACCAACGAAAAATCATCGATGTCCACAAGGAAGTTATCGTGAATAAGTCTGTCACGGGGTCAATCCCTGAAGAACTTCAAAGTTATCGCGATGAATCCGCTCGATTAATTAAAATCACGCTCGAAAAAGCGGAGAGAAAAGAAAATGTCTTTTCAAGGACAATGTTTTTGCCATGCATTTAGTGCAAAAAGTGACTGTTTCAATTCTGAAATTTTCTCTTATAATATATTGACATTAATTCTGAAAAAATTCAAAATTAAACAACACTGTATTTAATACTAAATTGTATGAAGAAATATATGAAGTAAAAATTAACTGCTTCGAAATGTCTACATTTCTCTACATACAATTGTCATCCTATGTTTACAGCACAAATGTATCTTTAAACATATTTTTTAAAGATTTCATTTAAAGAAATATTCAGAAATGTAAGCAGCCACTTTTAAACCTAAAATAAGACCCAGTGTTTCCAAGTGCCGTTTTAAATATAAACGGACTATATTGGTTCGATACTGTGTAACTTACGAGCCTATTACGCCATGACCTTACATATACATTTACGTTATACTGTATTATAATGTAAGGAAATAATATATTCTATATTTCGTCCAGATTGTGGATAAAAATAAAAATAAATCAATGTTTTCTTAGTAATAGTGTGTATTTATAATTGTTATTTTTATTCTTAATTTTTAATTAGTTGATTTTATAACTGATACTTAATAATTAAAAATTCCTCATTTATTAATTTTTAAAAAACTAGAAGAAAACTTTTTTATTTATCAAGTAGTCACTCATTTAGATTTGCTAACTTTTACTTTTTCCTCTCTCATTTTTGTTATTTTTTAATCATTTACTTTATACACAAACAATAAAGTAAAATAATTATAAAATTGATTTCTTTAAAAAAACTTTAAAAATTTACAAGAATAATTTTTGTTACTAAATATTTACTAACTATATATTTACACACATTTTCCTTCGTATTTAAACACAAATATTAAATTTAAAAATATTTCTGTAAAGGTTCGCCTAAAATATCTTCCAAAGTGCGAACAGCATTTTGCGCACACTTTTCTGTAACTTCATCTTCGTCTTCCAACAATTCTGCTAAGAACGGCACAGATTCTGGCAATAGTGGCATAAAATCTTCCCCAAGTTTTCTTGCAATTTCCACCTATAATCACGATTTAATAATTATATACTATCAAAGTAAAGATTTTTCTAACATTTGTATATAATTAATTCTTCACTAATCCAATTTACTTATAATAACATACTAACAATTGTTTAATATCGAAATAAAAATTACAATAAAGAATTACTATGTTTGGTCTTACCAATGCATTTAACGCAGTGCTTCTAACATAAGGTTTTGTATGTCTGGTCTTTAGTAATGTTTGATAAATCAGTTGCTTGTGCAACGAATCATCAGGAATGGCACTGGCGAAGGAGGCTATGCATGGTACGATGAGCCGATTGGCTCGACTCTCGTATTCTTCCCTTGTGCCCATCGTATTCTCCATTTGGTCCACTAACGGCTGCATGAGAATCTCGAATCGATCCTGACTGACAAAATTATGCGCGTCGTAATCAAAGACTCGATGAAGCGTCAGCAAAATCGCCTCCACCAACTCGATTCTCCTCGACTCGTCGGGAAGTGTTAATTCCTGTGGATTGTCCGTGACGAACATATTGTTGCTGCTCAATAAGGATGCTGCGTGCTTCAGGAAGAGTCCGGCGAAGAGGACGAACAAAGATTTCAAGCATTCCGCTATATTCGCCGATAGTCTGAGAAATTAAAAGTCGTATTATCATATCGTATTAAAGCAATGATATATGTTAGCCTGAAATTGATTTTTAATACCTGTAGAAAGTTATATTTCGCTGCTTGTGTTGCGTATTATTCGTTGTCCATCCATAGAATCTATTGTACAACGGCTTGAAAGTTGCTTCGCTCAACTTCAAAACCAACGCAACCACTGTTTTACTGGTGCTTTCTTCCACTGCAACAATATCTTTTGAGGAAACTTTGATGTCTTCGTCCATCTTCATACTGTCATCGGTGCTTTCGATATGTTCCCGGAATTGAAGAACTTCGAGGAAAAAGTTGGCGAGATTGTCAACTTCTATTTTCAAATCCGCCGGTTGTACGCTTTCAAAGGACTCAGCCAGTACGTTCATCAACGATGGTATACACTGATAAGATTTTCTAGTCAACAGGGTCTGGTAAGTCCTATTGACAGCCGGAAGTAAAACTCGCAGAGGTATGCAATTGGATAACTTTTGTGTCGTCATTTTCAGCCGTGAAACTATAATATCGATCTGCAGATACAAATTAAATGAAACGATACATCCCAAAAGAATTCGATTAGAATTTGATAAAATAATCAAAAATATCAGAGATCCAAAATTTATTATAATTAACTAATGATATAGCAAATGTCAATATTTTAATAAAAATTTGAAAATATTTAAGATTATTTTGTTACATGAGAGATAAGACTAATATTGAGATTCTATAAGTTTAAAAATTCTTGGTTGAAATAAAAGCATAAATACCTTAGGATGTTCCGTGTCGGTGTACAAAGAACTCAGCCTGGTCAATTCAGACAAGAGTTGGTCCAAATAGAGCGACAGAAAATTTCCTAGCGACTCCACTATTTTCTGCAAGGCACTTACGATGCTGATGACCATCACGTCCGGCACGTTCTGATGGCAATGAGTTTCCAATAACTTCAAAATCGCTGGAACAAATTTATTTAGCGAATATAGAGCGTGCGTTCTCATGGAGCTGCATAATTCTGCCACGCACAAAGCCGCACTGGCTAACACTGGACCGTCTTTTGATCGCAGCAATTCCGTAGTCATGTCCAGGATCTGTGAATAATTATTAATACGTTAAATTATATTGTTAAATATAATCGATTTAACACATGTAACGTTAAAATAAAATTGTACCGGTTTAAAAATGGCTGGATGATCAACAGCCAGCAGCTTCGCTAGTAACTTCAAGGAAATCAATGCCGTCTGTTGAACAATCTCCTGTTCTTGGCTCTCAATCTTCATTTCAGTATCCAGGAAGTTTATTAAAGATTTGATTAAGCTCAGAAGGTCAGCGTGATCTTCATCGTTAAACTTCTTTTGAAGCAATCTCGCGTTCAGCAGCTCTAGTGCCTTCTTATTAACAGACAACAACTCGTGTTTCAACAAGTTGTTGATACTCTTCAAAAACAAGGTATTCGTCAGCAAGTTATTCACTAGATCGAGCACATCGTATAAATGATGTAGCAACACTTTCCAGTATTTAGCGCTCGGTTTATTCTGATTCTGATCGGCGATCTTTGAAACAGTTTGAATCAACAAGATTAGCTCGATCGCCAGACGATCGTAATATTCGTTAATCTCGTTTGCCTCGTCTTCACTCAACACAGCCACGCGATTGATGAAATTCTGAGATGATAGAAGGTTGCTGAGAAATTGCACGGCTGTTATCTTGTAATGTCGAAGACTTTTCGGCATCGACTTGGTTACATCATAAATATGTTTATATGGGAATTTCATCGCTGCCTTTCTTCCTTGTTCATCCTCGATGTCAATCGGCAGAACCTTGATAAACTCGGCCACTTTCACGCAAATCTGGAAAATATATTTGTTTTATTTTCAATATAATACTTTTTTATATATTATTTCTTTTAAAGATGTTTATTCTAGTTATTAAAATTTCATCAAAATTTTGTTCAATAAAATCATGACCAACCTGAAGCAACTGCTGCGGTGAAAACTCTTGGGATATCTGAAGAGCAAAATCTAACTGCTGCGCGGACTGTTCAGTCCTCTGATTCGCAATCTTCATCACATAATTTTCGAAACTAAGCAGATAGTACAAGTGTAAATGATTCTCGAGAAGCTGCAGTAGTTTGACGAAGACTGGCGTCCGTCTATGCTCGGGAATGTGAGGCAGCGCAACAATGAAGGTTCTTAACAATTCGCAGGCGTGTATCTCATTGTTAGCAGCATTCACAATCGGTACCACCGTCTCCAGAGTTTTGGAAATTATCTGAATGGAGTAGGCATCATCCTGACGAAGCACCGTACTGCCCATGAACGTAAAGATTGGCATGATGTTAAGAAGAGCGCGACGTACATCCACGTTCTTCAGCAATTCTATCAACACGAATAACGCGTGATGATGCGTTTGTGGGTTGCGCGATGTTCTGATGCACTTGGTGATAAGTGCGATTTGTTGATCGGCGTCGCGCACCGGTAGTCCTCTCGTCATCAGCCGATGAATCGTCGAGAGAATCAGTTGATTCGTGTACTCGACTGGACTCTGCTCCTCTAAGCTCAAGCAGGTGTTTAGCAGATCGAACAGCACGTCGTAGAGTAACTCCTCTCGCTTGATGTTATCAGCACGTTGTGCAAATTCCAGTAGTGCTACACCACGCTTCCACGCCCGACTGTGCACCATCGCTGGATTCGCCAATTGAATCTGACTCTGTCGTTTTTTCCGCTTCTTTGCGCTCGCCGTCGTTTCCAGGTCGGTCGACTCTTTCTGACTCTTCAGTTTCATCGTCTGTAATTCTGACGTTATGATTGTCGCATCGATACGAATTCGACGGATCGTTCTGCCAACGGCAGAAATTACGCTGCTAATCTCGCAATCGGTTACCACGTCCAACATTTTCGACAAAATCTTCGCCTGAAGATTACGAGATACTAAACCGGCGTTCTCAAAGAATATTTCGTCGATCTGTTTTAATAAAACAATGCTTGGCGATGTTTGTTCCCCGGATTCCGTGACTGCTCGAAGTTCGTGCTCCAAAATACTTGCTTCAAAGAATGCCCACACTTGTTCATCGTTTAGAGCGCTGACCGTAGTTCCATTGAAACGTTGCAGGATATTTCGCAAAGCGCTAGCAGCTGATTTATTTTTAGGATCTTCCGCTAACTTCTGTAGAAGCTGAAGACCTAACGGAGCTAGTTGCTGAAGAATTCCAGCACTGTTGACGTGCACTAGAATGTCAAGTAACTGCGACCTTCGGTCCATGGGAATTTTTAATGCTTCATCCTGCTGAGTCACCATATTGAATAGCAGTTTTTGAGCCTGCTGCAACTTTTTACGTTGTTTCACTTGATGAGACACATCGGGGTCAGGCGAAAGAAGGACGTAGAGACTCAACGAAAGTTGATCAGGATCTTGAGAAATCTCAGTACTCTTCGCCGCTAGTTCCTGAAGCAGTACAAAGAACGGTTCCGTGGTAAAGCTGAAAGTCTGCGTCAGTTTCTTTAGAATGTCTAATGCCACTGTTCTACAATTGTTGTTACGTCTTGCAAGCGAGAGCAACAAATTAATTACAAAGTCCTGATCTTGAAATGCCCATTGAACAGATTTGCACTGGTCCAATAACAGCGAAGAGATTTGCAAACAGTGATAGGAAGTTTGCACCTTAATGGGTTTCACATAGAGCTGCGCGAGGAAGCAGATGAGATCCTTCACTGTGGAGAAGTGAAGTTGGAAGAAGATTTGTAGACATCTAGAATAGTGTCTTTGCCAATGGCGATTGTTCATACCATCGATGAACATCTCCAGAAGTCGCAAGATCAAATTGCTCCTTTCTGCATTGTTATCAAAATCAAGTTTCGGTTCAGACTTAATATTTAATCGTCTGTGAACCATTTCCAGAACATAAGTACCCACCTGTAATGGCAAGATACCCTCGGATGTAAGCGTCAATGCCATTTGAATGTTGTTGCCAGTAATATTGTAACAATCATGTAATAATTTAACGCGCGAGTACATCTTAATCATCTTCGTGGCCATCTCAATGACCTCGCGCGCAGTTTTGGCCGGCATTGAGCCTACAGGCACTCTACAGACTGATCCTAATAAAATCATGTTAAAAAACAAGGACGCCGCGTCGCCGTGCGAGATTTGTTGCTGCATGGAATTCAATATGTTCTCCGTAGGTGGTAGTAACTTGTGATTCAAGATATTGTGAAAAGCAGTGGAGGAGATCGCCTCGGCATTCACTAATTCAGATTTGCGAATGTCTTCAATTACATGTTGCATGTATGTGTTGTTCTTGCCAAAATTCGAGCAAAGAACCTCCATGGCAATTTCCACATCCTCGTCCGCGGTGGGAAATAGATACGGTAAGGCCGTAATGAAGATGCTGGTGTCATCGCTCTCTTCGCAAAGCTCCAAAAGTATCTTCAGTGCTGGTTTAACTAATATTTTCCTCGATGATGTATGGCATGTCGATAAGAGGACCAATAACTCATCCACCAGCATATCCGTGGGTAGTAAGCTGGTAAATCTTTTCGTAGTAAAGGACAGTAAGGTCTTTATGACGTTCACGTCGTTGTCATAGAATCTAGCTTGAAGCGTGTTCGTCATCATATCGCGGAAGCTCTCAGGCACGTTCGCCTTATTTTTGGCGAGGATTTCGAGGGCGACTACTCGTTGCTCGGCACTGATGTGCGTTAATTTGTTCAGGATCTCAACAAAACCCTGCGCCTCCTTGGTGCAAAAGGACCATGAAGTAAGAAAGTGTAATGTTTGCTTAGAGTCCTTGTCGCCCTGCTTCATCAACTTCTTCAGATACTTGTCGAATCTTTCTGGATAACTACGCTCAAAATTTTGATAGACTCTCGCTAGAAAGTCCTTTGCTGACTTCGAAGTCTCATTTGTAAGAAATTCATACGTCTGTATGCTTGGTAAAATTGCATCCACCGCATCGTTATCTAGAGTGATGCCCATTAGCAAGTCGCTGATCATACTCTGAACATTGATGGTATCTTCGGAGTTCTCGGCTACGATCTGGCAAGCTGCTTGAAGAAAACATACGATGAATCGTGACGCGTTAACGCCGGACGAATGAACCTTGATGACTGTCTCCAGAAACCAAGATAAATCTGATAGTTGAAAGACTAAACTTTGCGGTACAACAGTTAATCGATTAACCGGAGACTGATACAGATGGAGCAGAAGAATTGTGGCCTCCTCTTTTAAGATCGTTTTCTTGAAAATTTTCAGCATCAACTTTTCTGTGGTATCGGTGTTAAATTTCACCTATAAATTATACAAAATTTATATTTTAATTTTAATATTGATATTTTTTAAAAAATAAATATAATTTTAAATATTATTTTTCTCTTTACAAAATCTTATTATTATTATTATTTATAATATAGTACATAATAAATAATCTAAACTTGTATATTTTTATATTATATCATAAAATTAATATTAATCAAGCAAGTTTTTAAAGTAAAAATATATAGATTAAAACAGATAAAGATGAAACAAGCATACCTAAAAGGAATTGAATTACCTTTATCATCAGTTTTGCAATAATCATGTAGCTGCTGGAAGCAAGATCGGGAACAAAACTTTTCAAACTATAAAGTACAGTCGGCAGCAGGTGATTCAGCTGAACCTCTGTAACAGATACTTGTTCAATCATTCCCAATATTACAGTGGTGTAAAAGGCATATAAGGTGGTCAAACAAAACGCCTGCTCGGAATAGGCCTCTGCAGCAGATATCACATGACTGCATAACATTTTCAGAAATCCATTGTCTGTGCTTAAACGATTAATAAGAGTTCCAGAAGGTAATGATACACCACGTTTCTGTAAAGGCGCCAGCCAGTGCCATTTGTTGCTTTCATCTGATAAATCCACCAACTGCAAAGCTCTTGAAAGAGAAAAATTAGCAAATTTTAACTTAACTGTTTTATATTAAAAATAACAAAAATATAAAGAATACATTATATACTGTATTATTATAGCATGATATTGATTATAAAATTAACAATTTAAAAAAAATAGCAAAAATGTACAATTGTTTTCAAACTGAGATTTTATTCCAATATTTTATTCAATAATACGTACCTAACAAACATACGAGTTTCATGATATGGTAAAATCATAAGTATAAATTGATCCCGGTTATATTGATGAATATGATATCTGTATATCAACCATTCCAGAGCTTTACGTGATGAGTACAATAAAAAATAAGGGCAAAGTAATAATAGAAACTTTGTGACCTCTGCATCTAGTTTTTTGTTCACAATAGCATCTTGAACAGCGCGTTCAAAACTTACAGAGCTCTGAGCAAATAATGTTGTTTTAAAGTCTTCAAAGAATAAAGAGAGTTTCACTAATTCTTGCAGACCACTCTGACCTAAACAGATAGAAACATATAATTATAAAAAAAATAAAAAATGTTTCTTTAGATTTGCATTTTTTTGTTGCAATTTACAAGCATGAATATCCTTCTTTGCATAAAGTTTTGTGAAAGTATTGTAAATATAACATAAAAATCAAATAAACATTGTATAGAGATTCAAATCCCTTAAACTTTTATATTGCTTTCAAACTCTTAAGAAAATTAAATCAATATAAAACAGAATCCGATACAAAATAAATTGACAAACAAAAAATGTATATTAATAATTATAAATGTATTATTGCAAATATTTAAAAAAAATACAGAAAATTTTATTTTTATAAATATAGCAGTGAGCTATACTAACCTATACTCAATACAGTGTCTCTATCTAAATTTGCTGCTTCTTTTGGATCAAATAGCAAACTGGGACGTTTCTTATCCTGTAGCAATAAATTCGTCTGTGGAGTTTTTAATTTTTTAAGTTGCGCCGCTAATGATGTAGCCATTGTCAATCTAAATAAACAGGAAAAAGAATGAATAACCTCACAATAACATGTAATTTGACGATTTCTTAGCATAAATTTAATTGCTTATACAAATTCTTTTTCTATTATAATTAATTCGTAAGAGATTAGCACAAAAGTTTAATAAATAAAAAGAACTTACATATATATCTATCAAATAAATTATCCGCATCGATATGAGCACGTGGAAACATAAGAGACTGTGTTCAAAAATGCTATACGTAGGATAAAATAGAGCAAGCATTTCTATCTTCTGATTGGTCGATCCAATGTAACTAGACGGCTGAAACCAATCAAAAATCACCATTCAATAATTCGCATTTGGGAACTCCAGTTACAACTCTATCGCGTTTACATACTTTATGCTCAAATAGAGTGATACTCCGATAAAGAGGAAAGGAACGAGTTTGTATTATACAACTTTTTAAGGTAATTTGTGAATAGTTTGGCACCTTGTCTCCGTTAGTAGAAGTCGAAATCTGTCGAGGAAAAGAAGGAGATAATTCGCGCACCGAAAATGACTGCAGTTTTGCGCGTAAAACGTAAAAACACCGACACCCCACTCGATTGGTTGGTGATCGCGTGCAAACGAGCGAGAACCGGATCGCCTCTCCTCGATGAAAGCTTGCCCGCCGTCCAAACGGTCGTCCAATTTGCCGGGACCCTCACAGATCCGGTGAGTAATCTACCTTTAATGTGATTAATTACTCTGCACAATCGTCTCTTGTAGGTCCATCAAGTTTTGTTCAGATTCATCAATTGCAAGGGTGGAAAACGTTTCAGAATTTTTATTGCATTTATTTAAATTTTAGAATAAAAAGTATATAATAAATAATTGTGTGATAAACAATTAACAAAATAGACTGCTTAGTTTTACTGAGTGTTAATGTTTTTAAACATTATTGTTATTGATTCATTAAAATAAATTATGCAATATTTTATGGAATGTCCGATTTCAGACTGAGGATGTTACGCAGCATGTCGCTAAAGTTATGCCCAAGATAGCCACAGAAGTTGGTGTCAAGCGGACATGTGACAGCAGTTATCCTGCAAATATTTCAAACAAGAAATGGATAGGAGGGGATTCTGTCATAGAAAGGTACAAAGTTGTTAATTGCCAGCGTTCACAGGATACATTAAATGAAGAAAAATCCGAGGAAAAATGGATGACACTCATAGATGTGGAGGATTCCTGGAGCGTTTCTGGTACAGCAAAGGAAAATGCAAAAAAATCTGAGGTAAGTTACATGTAGATTTTTGCAAAAATACTTATATTGATAATATCTGCAATGTATATATTTTCTTAATAAGGATTGAAAATATTTATCTTATATTGTAAATACAATTGTATTGCAAATGAAACAATTAGCTCGATATATGATGAGAAGTAGATAAACTAAAAAAATATATTCAGAAATCAATATTTTTATTGGCTCTCAATATAAATAATATAAGTATGCTGTCTTCTAAGCTGGGCAATAGAGCCAAGGAAACGAAACGAAAAATTAATTAAACGGAACTGTATCTCAATTTGAGATCAAATTGAGATACAGTTCCGTTTAATTATTTTTCGTTTCGTTTCCTTGGCTCTATTGCCCAGCTTAGAAGACAGCATACTTATATTAAAAAAATATATATATAATTTTTAATCAATCATAAAAAAGTGTTATGTATAGATATATAGAATTAATTTCTAAAAATACAACAAATGTTTGAATAAAATAAGATATGCATATATGTACTTAAGACAACCGAACAAAATGGATATACTGTATAACATTTATAGGATATTGAAGATTTTGTGTTTGATTTATATTGTGGACAAACCGAGGATAATGTATGGTTTGAGAACAATGAAATAATGGTACAGGAACCAGTATACCCATGTTTAGTTTCTGATGATGACAAAAGCGAAGACTCTTCGGAGGACTCAAATGCAGAATCCAATTGGAGAAATGATTATCCTGATAGTGATCCAGATCGTTCCAGAGATGAAGATGAAGATTATAATTCCGATTATTCCAATGATGATCACTTCCACAATGATCCTAGAGAAGAAGAAGATAAACAGATATATGGGCGCAGTTACGCTGAATATAGAAAAATGATACAGCTGGCTAATTTTAATGATAATTCCAGCAGTTCATCAGACGACGAAGGAAGATCGTCAAATTATTCGAGTGATGAATCGATGGGAATATTGTAAAAATATTAACTTTAGTTTCAAAGAGCGTATATATACATGTTATATAATTTCTTATTCGCTTTGAATCATTAGTTTTAAAATAATTTATGAATATTTCAGTTCTTTCAGTTATCAATTAAGTTATCTTACAAGATAATTTATAGATAAAATATATCACAAGATTTAATACATTCATTATTATCTTGTTCATTATAAAAATATGAAGATTTGTAAATTGTTTAAGACTTAATAAATTATTAGTTAAAAATTTTACATGTATAATTAAGAAACGAAATACTTTTAAAAAATATATCTTTGCAAATGTATAATTTTATTTTAAATTTTACGAACACTAAATTTCAGTAAACATTCCTGTCCATATATTTTGATCTCAATTTTCACTTTTTTCTAACAAAAAAAAAGTGTGAGTTGTAAATGGCGTAAATTTATTTATACGTTATATATAATTATGTATTACAGACTTTCTTCTATTGATATAGATGTATATTCTCGCGCGTAAAATTTGTATATCAAAGTAAAAACGAAAGTAAAAGGGAACTAATTGTAAGCCTAAGTAGAAAAGAAGAAATTGGTCACGCAAAATTATGGAAGCATATATTTCTTTTCTTCAAATCGTAAATGAGCTTAATCCTATTAAATCTCATCGTTTTGCAATTCTGAAATAATTTTTAAAGATTACCAGAGATATTTGTTGAAGTTTAAAAAAGTTGCAAGAACACAGATTATTAAAATATTTGCATTTGTTCGAGGAAGAGAAGAATTAGGTGATCAATATCCAAGAGGATGTTGAGAGGATATGTATATATTGTTGAAGAAAGAGCTGTTTTGTCATCGTGGATATGGCATGTAATGTGATATACACCAGATTTATAGCATATTATAACAAGTTATTGGAAGTACCAGATGGGGATTTATAAATTTTTCCGTATACATGCGTGACTTCGCATATCATCTGCGAAATCAATTCGCAGTACAAAGACCCAGACAATTAACAACGTAACATTCGACAAGACATTTCACGGCTCAAAGAGAAAAATTATTTGTCGTCTAATAATTCTGGGATGTGGAAGAAAGAGCATTTGCAAGATTTCTTCGGACAATGTGATGAGATTACTCATCTTTGCAAAACATTCGTCACAATATTTGGATCTCTCGCCATGAAATTCGCTGCTAAAAGACAGATCGACGTCTTTTGATTATTAACGAGTTCGTCATATGATATGAGTAGTACATTGCGTATACACGTAACACTGGCCTTAATTCTAATTTATTTTTACATTCATGCGCCCTGCAACGAGGGATACTTTGCGAACACGTTACGATGCTTTTGATCGGGTCCGAGTGCGTCGATAGAAATTGAAATGATTAACGTTTGAGAAAACGTTGTTTTGAGATCGTTATCTTTTCTATTTGCATGCATGTAATGCATATATATATATATGTGTGTGTGTGTGTGTATATATATACACATATACACAAGGCCTGTCGATAAGATTTTTCTAAATATTTCTTTAAAATTAATCGACGAGATTATTTACTCGCAACTATTAAAAATACAATGTATGTATATACCCAATTAACAGTATATCATACTTGTCTCGTGTCATTTTATCTGTTAAACTCATTTTTTGTACTCAAAATATTTGATAAATTTTTTTAAACTTTCAAAAATCATAATGAATAAATAAAAAATTATTAAGTAAATTTTCATCGAGGAAATTCTAAACTCGTCAAGAGTAGATTCTTATTATGGACTCAACAATGCTAAATGCATTTTAAATTCTCTCACGTGATAGATGTTTATCGACGCATTCGTGCATTATTATTCATAAACGCGGACGCAACATTTTATATATATAAATTTATATATTATACATATATATAAAATGTGCGTCGATGATTGCGCAATGTAACTTAGCAGATTCACAAGCTGAGATTGGTATCATTCGTATCAGATTCGCTTACTATAATTCCATAATATTCTACTTGCCTACTGTACAACATTTTACACTCATCGTATTCGTCCTTAAGATATAATGTCGATTATTAATGCTACGAGATTATTTGAGAGTCATGAGATTGCACACCTTCGCCCGGACCGATCGGTCGCGTTTCTTTCTACTCGTCATTTTCTTTATATATATATACAGAACGATTCGACGTCTCGTCGATTCTTTTCGGTATCTTTCATTTTTTCCTTCGGGACATTGAATCGATATGACAATTGCTGAGACGATCGTTTGCAAACAGAGCCGTATACGTATCATTAACATGATATATTTTTTATCTTTAAATATCATTCAAATTGTATTTATATAGGTTTTTTTCTCTCTCGCTCTCTCCTCTTTTCTCTATTTATTTGTACAATATAATTTATTAAACTTCTTAAATTAATTCTCGAATGAAGAATAAATGAGAAATAAATAAAAACATGAATGAGAAAGAAGAATGAAGAATAATATATATATGTTAATATATTATTTCATATTTTGGAATTAGAAAGTGAATAAACAAATATTAGCTTCTTATACGAGAAGAAAAAATTAAAGCTTCTTTTATACAATTGCATTATTAAGATTTATTTCGTTACCGCGTATACATATTTGTAGATTATATATTAATTTATATATAATTATCTAATTACGGCTCTGTTTACACATCCCCTATTCTTGCGAGCTCACCCTCATGCACACGTATACATATAAATATGTATGTGTGCGTGTGTATATATATGTATGTACATGTAGATATCTGCGACTTATAATAAGTACAAACGATTCCCTGGATCAACAAAAATCACACAACGTAGCAGTCAATTAAGAAGTCCAATAGTTATGTATAAACTGGCAACAATTAACAGCCCCCGTGTTTAGTCAGTTATCGCATCTTTCGCACTTCATTTCTCTTCCTCAAAATTTTCCCAAAAATGTGACGTTTACACTGAAATAAACTCCCTTAAACTTAATGTCACTAATAACGAGACAATAAATATTTTCGGGAAATTGAATAAATTAGTTCAATTCATTAGTTTTTAAAAATGTAATGCACTTAATTATTTAACTGACAAAATTGATTCCTTCGAGAAAAGAAATATTTGTACTTCTCGAATGAATCAATTTCCCATAGCAAATAATTTAAAGCATCTTTTTCTCGGAAGAAAACGAACGGTAAAAAAGTGATCTACTCGCGATTACAAAATCTTACAACACCGATGCTTCGGTCCTGCCAGTTGGCGGAGGTGTCGGATGACCGCTGGCATTATTATTATTGTTATTATTATTATTATTATTACTCGCCTCGCCGGCGTGACTCGAGCAGTAAAACTTCTTGTGAGCGATAAAAGTGCTCAGATAGTTGAAGCTGATGTCGCAGGAGCGACAGTAGCGAGGACCGCTTTTGCTGGGATCCAAACTCTCTTCCGGCGGTGGCGTGTCCTCGCGTTCTTGCTTCACCTTATTAGCAATCGCCGGCACTAGCGGAGGTGGTGGCGGCGGTGGCGGTGGTTGTGGACTCTTCCGTATCTCCGTCTTGCCGTTCATTTGGATCTCTGCAGGACTTTCCTCCGGCGTCGTCGCTGCTGCGGGCTCCGGTGTCGGAAGCGTCGCCTCATCATCCAATACGCACGTTATGTAATTCTCCTCCTAAAGCAAATTGTTGATATTTTATTACAATTTTGTCATATATATTTATTTTATCAGAAACAAATTTATTCTATATAAAAGTAAATAATTGTATGTTTTAATTAACACATATTTTAATATAATAGTTTATTTTATGTAAAAAAATTTAAATATGTTTCAGTTGGATAAAATTGAAAAAGAAGATTAGAGAGAACAGAGATCCACCTGTAAATCGGTTCCCCGCTTTTCAAAGTGCATTCTGATGTGGGTTCTCATGCCGCGAAGAGTATTGCCTTTGTAACGGCAAATCGTGCATCGGAAGGCCTTGACGCCTTGGTGGGCATCCATGTGACGTTGAGCAGCACCAGCCGTGGGACTGACAGCTCCACAAACTGGACATCGCCAACCACCAGTCGTGCCAGTAGCGCAGGTATGGTTACTGCCAGGTTCTATTATCGCCTACGATAAGAATGTCTCTTCTCATTAAAAATGTTCAACATGTTAACATGTTGAAAGATTGAGAAGAGATAGACAGGATATCACCATGAAGATAAAGTAAAAACTTCAGCTATGTTTAAAAATCAAAAAAAATTTAATTTTTAGAACACGACAAGTAGATTTAAAGGCGTTCTAAATTTGCTATCTACCCTTTTAGCCGTTCAAATTTTTGAGATATTCTTTTTACGTCGTCTTCCTAATCCTTGGATTCTTTTGTGTTGACTATACCTTGCACTTAGTACACCGCGTATGATGCTCTTGTGGTTCGGGCCTCTTAGGACAATAAAATGCCTGATGAGCAACCAGATTATCCATGGAAGCGAATTTGATGCCGCACGCGGCACAGATGAGCTGGACGCAGATGGGTGGCGAAGGTGTGCCAGGGGGTGGTGGACTGTTGCTTACCGTCGTCTCCCTTGCTTGGCAGTAATGCTTCTTATGAGCGACAAAATTCTCGTGTCGACAGAACACGATATTGCATTCTTTGCACCTAGAGAAAAATCGAAACTTGGACGATGTAATCTCATAAAGTTTCAAAAATTAAAAATTTCTTTAGTTTACGCGACTTTCTCTATATTTTTCACAACAATTTTTAAATAAGAAGTTCAAAAACTCGAAATTTCAAAAATTAAATTTCTCGAGAAACCCCGAACTCACCTGGAGACGCCCTGCTTGACGAGTACCCCAGGAACCGGAGGTGGTGGCAGCTCGGCGAGTCTCAGGGCGAGTTCCGTGGGTGCGGGTGGAGCGACAGCTACCGTTTGCGCCGGGCCGATGGACCTCGTTCTAGGACTACCGCTGCCCCTGGATCTGGGACTGCCTGGAGGTGGCGGCAAGGATGATGGCGCTGGTGACATTCTGTTTTCCTTCTCGTCCTGGTGCACCGGCGATCTGCGCACACTGAGATCGAGGGGCGCCGAGGCAGACGGTGACGTGGACGTTGCCACGACCACCGAAGCCGGCGTCGAGGGTTTGTTCGCCGCCCTTAAGACGGCCGGAGGTTCTACTATCGTGTTCTGGGTCGTGGCAGCGAGGCCTCTCGTCATTGGCTGAAGGGAACCTGAAGACGTTAGTTAAGTGAACGTTACTTGAGATTATTCTTTGTAAAGTGTATCGCGCGTTACCTATTTTTTATATCTAATTTATATTGATCTCGAGAATTATGTGTACTTTAATTAGTCTTTGTAATTACTCGAAAACGATGGATACGAACCGTTTGGCAGAAGGAAGCACGCTGTGTCAGGAGCCGGAAGTGTCGGCGCGGCGAGGACGCTCGCACCGCGGAACAACGAATATGGTACGATAAGAATGGGATTGGTAGGTAGCGCCAGACACGGTTGCGGAGGCGGCGAATCATCGGGACTCGAGTTGTTCGGCGGCGATGCTTTCACCGAGGATGTCGACGTCGCCGTCGGCGTCGATAACGACGTGTCTTTCACCACGTGCCTAGTACTGCAATAATGTGTCTTATGTGCCCTGTAAATCAAATTAATAATTTAACTATCTGTATTTCTATATCAAAGAATCTATAGATGTATATAATTTTCTTTCAAATCTACGGATTATTTCATATAATAGACTTCTCTTTCTTAACCAAAACTTCTTAAACTATTTCACATACCTGTACGTCTTCAAGGAGCTGAACCTGATGTCACAATTCCTGCAGTATCTTTCAGCCTCCTCGTTTAGAGAACCATTAGACGCGGTCGTTTGACCAGTAGAGTTGCTCGTCGAGGAGTTTGGGTTCGCCGACACCGCCGTCGCCGATGTTGGTATCGTCGTCGGCACCGGCGAGGTTGCGTGCATCCGCATGTGACGATTCAGGGATACCTTTTTGTCGGCGCTGTACGAGCAGTGCGGACACGCGTACGCCTTTCGCGCCTCGAACTTGCCACCGGACTTTCCGCCGCCGCCGTCCTCGTCCTCGTCGTTCGTCGCGTCCTCGTCCGCGCGCGGTCGATGGGCGCAGTAGAAGGTGCGATGAGCCTCGAGGGTGCTGGGCGAGCTGAACCGGATACCACACGGCGGACAGGTCAGGGCAAATTGCGGGGGTCTCGCCGGCTCCACCGTGATCGTCTCCTTGCCATCAGTTGGCAGCACGAACAGTCGGCCCGACGCGATCGCTGACATGAAATTCATTTCAAGAGATCTTATTAGTTTTTATTCTTGCGAACCTTGTCAGATTCTGGAAGAGCAAACTCGTGTTTCTCATATCTTTTTCCTTCTAATGTCGAGCAAAAAGACAACCTCTGAACTAGTGCAGAATGCAGTCAACACAAACGGATCTATTGTTTGCTGTTATCTAAATACAATTATACAGCTAATCACCTAGATCTAGATAAAATTTGACGTCATCTTCTTATCTTTATATAGATAATAATAAAAATATATAAACTTATCTTAGATAAGATAAAGGTGATTTTATTTTAAATATATCTAGACAAAAGATAAAATTATATAGCGATTCATTATCAGATAACTTCCAGATAATATTATTTTTAGGACCGCTTATGTAAACACAGTTATAAAAGAAATATATATTCATATTTTCTATTTCTAGCTATATAATTTTATCTTTTGTCTAGATATATTTAAAATAAAATCATCTTTATCTTATCTAAGATAAGTTTACATACTTTTATCTCAACTTTATCTAATTTTAAAATTATCTAACCACAACACTGCTCATATATCTGTTCTGATTCTTGAAAAATTGAAAGCTTGAAACATATCTAAACCTCCAGATTTTGAGATACCAAATTTTTCTGTTTTAGATGTTCCTGAATGAAAATAAAGTGGACAATACTAATGTGGATCCAATTGGAACTATAATCACCGTTCTGAAGCCCGGCTGGAAGCGGCGGCGTCTGGTTCGGCGGCGACGTGTTCTCCGGCTTCACGGTAAGCGCGGCGACAGCAGCGGGTCGCAATGCGGGATCCGTCGCCAGACTAGCATTGAGTCTCAGTCTTGGTGTTGCCTCGTCGTCGAGTCTCATCCTCTTGGCCTCGGTGGCCACCGCGGTGACGGAATCCTCCGAGTCCCTGCGGCAGACGGAGTCTCGTCTCCTAATGGCAGTGGACGACGACGGCCTCGGCTGACACTCTTCGTCCTTAACAGCCTGTTGCTCCTCATCGACGTCCTTGGGACTCGACTCTCGCGTTCGTACGTTTCTAGACGATGGCCCATGACGGTCTCCTCGTATGCTCCTGGCGACCTGGTGCACAATTATATTTATTAATTCAAAATTAAGAGTGGAATTGTCAAATTGAGATTATTTTTTAATTCTGGAGAAACGAGTTTATAAGATATTGGAAATAGAAATAAGCGCACCTCGATGTCCTCGGTAAGGCTGACCAGACGCTTCCTAGTATCCTCCGAAAGCACGCTCAGGCGCAGTCTGATATCCTCACTGGCCGAGGAACTGGTCGAGGATGACGTGGGGTTGAGTCTCGGAGGAGGTGGTAAACTCGAGTCCTCCTCGACTACTGGTGGCGCGATTGGACTCGACACCGCGGATCCGCCACCGTCCACGCCGCTGCTCACCGACGGGGTCTTTTCCGAGTCACTCCATTCTTCATCCTCCCCTAGAATCACATTTAAAACATCTATAAACACCAATCAAACAAACGGGAATATTCGCAAAAATTATGGAAAAATATTCTTTTCCTTCCTTCAACTGATACTTCATGTTAATGAAAAAAAGATCTCTTGAAAACGAGAGAGAGAAATAATGATAAAGGATAATATAATAAATTCGGTATAAAATTGTTATGAAATCAATTAAAAATCTCAAGATATAATATTGAAAATAATTTTTATAATTAAAATACGGAAGATGAAATCCGGGACGTCAATTTTGTCGATGCGGAAGTAACTCGCGAGACAACTATCATCGTTGATCGAGATGAGGGAAAAAGAGAAAGAGCAAAAGAGAGCGACGTGCACGCAGACGATGCCACTCTCGGACTATCCGGATCTCTAATGGACCTCGATATATAGCGGCCCTTTGCGTATATCCTCCCATTCGGAACAACCACCAATTGCGCCCTTCGCATGCCGCCTTTCATCCCCTACTTCGAAGGTCGCGCGCAGGCTGTCTCTGAATAGTTGAATAGTCTTCAGGATCTAAGGGCTGGTCCCGGCGAATATGCCCTTACACTGATAGGTTTAATCTTGTAATATTGATAGTTGAATTGTTAATGGATTCGACAAAATTGCATTGATAATCGAAAAAAGAATTTAATTTAGATTAACAAAAAATTAAGTTTCAAAAAAGGAGATGTTTTGAAGAAATTAATATTTAATCGATTAGGGAAAAAGAGTTGAGTTCATAAGAAAATTTAATTAATTAAAACGAGATTATAAAATAGGGACAAGAAATATTTGTTATACATTTGAACTGGAATAAACAAAAAATATATAGCAAATATTGCGAAATACAATAATATTTTTTTATTGTGGTAAATATTAATTAGAAAAACTCTTATAAAATTCTTCCACATTGTCCCACGATTATCATGATTTTCAGAACAAATTCTAAGAGAAAATTCTGTGTATTAACAGAAAATGCGCGAATAAACGAGACTGTGCAGTTGATGAAAACGATCGATAGTCGAGGATTTTTCGAATTTTCGATGCAATTTTTTAGACACCTTTTTCTCGATAGATCGTCAAGGACCTCTACAAGAGATCCAACGATCCAGGTGGCTTGTCGTCGCGAGAGATTGAGACTCGAGAATTACCCGGATGCTTTAATTGCCTCCTCGGGCAAGGAAGAGAGAAGACAGAGGGAGGACTTGAAGGAAGATGCTTGGGTAGATTAGGTAAAGGGTTGCAACGAGCTCGCTGGGCTATCCAGCACTCGCATCTACACTCCGGGTCGTGTTCCTTCCTCTCTCCGGCTTCTCTGTAAATAAGCGGTCATCGATGGATCGACTGTGGCGTGGCAGCGCACACAGCCTCCCTTTTTCCCTCCAGTTGATTTCCGTCTCTCTCTCTCTTTCTATCTCGAGACGGGACTGATCGCGGGCCTTAATTGCGCAGCCATGCATACTATACGTTCGCTAGCGACGACGACGTCTGCAAGTTCATCCGCGACCCTCGTCCGCTCCTTCTTCGTGATCTCAGATGTACGATTGGAGAAGAGGTGGAGGCCGCGTGGATAGATCTCTTTATCTCACGATTGAAGAGAGAATATAAGAGAGAGAGAGAGAGAGAGAGAAAGATGTATGTATGATAGAGGTTGTAGATAAAGCTCCCTTATCTCTCACGCTTAGTTTCTTTCCCCGGGGTTCTATTATCGAACGAGAGATTATTTTCGAGATGATCTCCGAGCATGCATTGGTTCGCGATCGGTCCGGAGATCTGGGGATCCGCGGGCTCGATAATCCGGGAACACAATGGCTCGAGGATTCGAAGGGAGAAGTAGCCAGAATATTTCAAGATCCTCTAAGAATTTGTTTCGCATTCAAACATTCGCAACCAAGTGAGATTTTTATGTTCACGCTTTCGAATATCCTGGAAACTTCGAAGAAGCAAAATCATTCATTGAGAGAATGTGTCTAAGGAATATTCTTAATTTCATAATTAGAAAAGAACAAAGTATAATAAAACAAAGAATAGAACTTATCCTAAAACTTGAAAATTGTTTCTCTTTCCACACACCTTGAAACATTTTTCAATCTAGAAATAAAATTTCTAAAGCTTCAGCGTGAAATTTTGAAGATAAGAAAACCTTTACACAGAGAATTTTCCCTTAAAATTTTATCGTGGTAAATATTAATCAGAGAAACTCTTACAAAATTTCTCACGATTATCATGACTTTCAGGATAAATTCTAAGAAAAAATTCTCCCTGTGTAGATTAGAAGCCACGTCGCAATAACTATAATCTTTTAACTCTTTAAATTTTTCCATCGTAAAGTCGGAGCATTCTTAATTGCACATGCATACTTATACAATGCACACGTTGCCGATCGCGAGAAGGCTGCATCTAGCAGCAACCACCAGCTTACGAGCGACCAACCAACCAACCAACCAACCACCTCCTCCATCGCGCGACTGTTGGGGTGCAATATATCTCGAAAAGGTGCCGGCGGAGGAGAGAACGGAGGGAGGCACAACACGGCCTCCATTAACATATCCGCGGCCTGATAAGCCTTTCTTGGAACCGATACCGTGTACACCTTCGGCCCCGCTTTATGCAAGAAGCGAGCAATCGCACTCGACTCGGCGTCGCACTGAAGAACGGAGCCGGAAACTCGTACTTTCGATCCCCGGCCTCCTTCTCCTTTCACCCTGCGCGATACGACCCTTCTTCCGATACTCCATTCCGCTAATGAGCCTCAAATTCCGGTCGATTTATTCCGGCGTCCCGATATAATTGATGCATCACGCAACGATAAGTTCATAATTAAGTTCCTTCCTTTTTGAATCCCGTAATATTTTTCAATATTTTAGATTCAACATTTTGAATGAAGAAACTTCTGAGATCTTTCTTCACAGAAATCAGCTTAAAGCGTTAACTTGCTAATTATATTTTTCACTAATATGTTACAAAAATAATATATTTTTAATGATATTTTATGATACTTCAAACTCGTTTAATATTTTTGACAGTTATCAGCTGATTTCTGTCAAAAAAAAAAATTAATCAAGGATAAGGTATATTACTATTTTAATTTTTTAACATATTATTATTTTGAAAAAGCGTTAATTGCTAATGAAATTTTAAAGATTCTCTGCATTTTTTTAACTTTAAATATTTAAAGTAAATATCCAATTCGACAGAACGTTTATTTCTTTACATCTCGTAAATCTTCTACCTTTTGTTAATCACACTTTTGGAAAAAAAATTTAAATAAATTTTTTCACTTGCGAAGAATAATTATATTTCTTTCTTTCTGGGCTAATATTATAATTACTGTAAAATTATCTAGCTTTTAATGCATCAAAAAAAAATAGAAATGTTATATAGCACTACGTATATCATTTCGAAGATTGAGATAAACATGGTTTGTGATCGTTGCAAAAAGATGGTGAAATTAAATTATATATATATATATATATATATATGAAGAAACCGGGGGTGAATGTTAATTTAATGTTAATTTAATGAGACAAAGATCGATAAACGATCAGAGATGCGTAGGTGAGACATACTCTTGACAAGTCGCACAAGCACACGTGATGTCTCGGTAAATCATCGCACTTTCCGTGACCAAAAGTACGCGTGATGCAAAAAACGTCCGCTCGTTAAAGTAATAAGTAGGTATGCGGGGCATTTATTATACCGCTTATACCTTCCTTTTTCACCTTCAGTCGACATCGACACTTCTCTTTCCCCCTCCCTCTCTCAATTAAATCTTATAAATTTTTAAACCTTTACAAACTGTCTTCCAATTAATTGTCAAATAAAAAAAACAAAAAAAATACTTTCCGTCACTTGTAAAAAATTTATTTTTGAATCATATTGAATATATAAAAATAAAATTCCATTTTAAAGGGATATTTTTTCTTACGTTGTGTAATTTCTATATAATTTCAGGTACACCCTTCGATCAAGGATAGGCCACGATTTGCGTACAACGATACCTTTCAAACTAGACCAACGTACGCGAATCCTGCGGAAACGAGAAAGCAGGATTGCGGGCGGCAAGACGGTAGCAGCTTCATCGGCGCTATGCAAATAGGATCCTGATCGTGACGCGGGTAGGCAAACACGCGACGTACAGGTAACAGGCAGTAAGAGCTCGCTGAGTGAGTCTTCTACTTTCCTCTCTCACCCTTCCTTCCCTCCTTCCCCCTGGTTTCCCTTACCGATTCGCATTACGGATCGTGGACGCCTTTTCACGACCCACGAGATCGCGCATATACCGTTCCGTGTCCATTTGCTTTGTCTCCCTTTCCCTTCTCTTCCTTCGCTCGCACCCCCCGTTCGCACCCCTTACACGCTGCATCGTGGAGATATGCTAATGTCGCTAAGGTCCCGATCGTGACAACGCGGCCGCTAAGTGAGAGCTCAACTCGCGAGAGTTTCTCTCTTGCGAGGGGAAGCTTGCGATCGACGTGTCGCCCTTCGTGGAACATCGAATCGAACGCGCAAGAATCGCGGAGTTCGATTTCCAGCACTTTAATTATACACGTGACAATCGATCGTCACCGCACGCATTGCTATTTTAATTTTTTCTAACATTATTTTTATGTTTAATTAGCAAATTAACTCTTTATTTTTTTCTTGACAGAAATCAGTTGATTAAAGCGTATAACTTGCTAATTAAATTTTAAACTAATATTTTAGAAAAATAATATATTTTTAATGATATTTTATGATACTTTAAACTCGTTTAATATTTTTGACAGTTATCAGCTGATTTCTGTCAAAAAATATTAATCGAGGATAAGGTATATATTATATATTGTTTTAATTTTTTAACATATTATTATTTTGAAAAGCGTTAATTGCCAATTAAATTTTAAACTAATAATATGTTGTAAACATTAAAATAGTTTTAAATAATATTTTATGACACTTTAAATTCGTTTAATATTTTTGACAGCTATCAGCTGATTTCTGTCAAAAAATA